GCCAATCACATGGCTGATGCACTGGGTGGGTGGGGGGGGGGGTGTCTAGGGGGTGGGATTACTACTCAGGTTAGGGAGGGGCGGGTCGGGGGGGGAGCAGTCGTTACCGTGACATGTAAACAATCGAACACTGGTAAGATGCCTCTGCTGCTTCCTGTTTCCTGCTTGTTCCTCTGTCCTTTGCTACTGGTCAATGAAAGCCCCGCCTACTGCAACATGGAGCTTGGGGGTGGGGCTTATTGAGTCAGCTGGTGACTCAGCCAGCCAGAGGATTGATCAGACTCCCCACACACCTAGTTTTATTGCTCAGAGCATATTTTAAACTAAACAACGTTCACTTATTCTGATATTAACTTCAAACGAGGATTTAGAGGCGGAGCTACAGATTCTAAACATGTGAAGTTATTGTAATAACATCAAAGTCTGCAAACAGATTCCACTTTCTGGTTCCTGCAGGCGTCAGCCCTCCGGCTGCTGAGTCACCCACTTCCTGCTCCGCGGCCCCGGCTTTGCGCTCCAGCCTTGAGCGAGACTCCAGGTCACACCGGATCTCCTGCTGTTCGGTCTCAGTTTCAGCAGGTTGAAGGTTCCTCTTTAGCAGCTGTTTCAGATGATTTCTTCTGCTGGGTGACCCTCACACCAGCAGCACTTCCCTCCATCCCCTCGAGATCATTTCTGAAACGTATTAGTGTCAATATCTCTCCTGAAGTGTGAACCGAGAAACTTGTGGGTTTGAAGCAGTTTCTCTGAACCGTGACAGAATCGGAGAACTTCTTCCCAGTTTTGACCCAAGGCTGGACCAATGGTGGTTTACCGCCTGTAGGTCCGACTCAAAAGTTCTAGGGGATCAGGTTTATTACACGAGAACATGGCCTCGGTCCGTTACAGCTTCAAGCTTCTATGACCTGCAGAAACCAGCTTTCCAAACCTGGATCAGGACCAGCAGGTCTGATCAGGACCAGGATTCTCCCCTGACTGGTGGTGGGGTGTGTTTGGAGGATCTTCCCATCTGGTACTGAAACAGTTCTCTAGAGAGGAACCTGGAGCAGAACTGGGACAGTTTGGACTTTGCAGTTTTTCTTCTGCAGATGCTTTGGTGCTAAAGAGAAAAGTGTTAGCATTTGTCGCTTCAGCTGACGAGCGTGCTAGCAGCGTTGGCACTCAGAGCACAGAAAACACGTTTCCACTCCCTTTGTGTCTTCCCAGCGTTCTGATTGGCTCCATAGAAGTGTGTGTGTGTGTGTGTGTATGGGGGGGGGGGGGGGGGCTTTACAGTAAGTATAAAAAACATGTATAAAACTACAGCCTAGAGGCTCTTTTATGCAATGCAGAACTGTCAAGTACACAGGTGGCGGGAGCAGCCAATCACACATTAGCAAGTATCAGCGGAGCCAGTAGATGAGCTTACGGACGGTTCTGATGGGAAACCGGCTTCAACACCGGCGATTGTTTTCCACTTGGTCCTGGTGTTCAACCCGTGTCTATTTAAAATAGCGTAATATTGTTAGGACTGTAAAATGTGCAAACACTAGATGGTTTCACCACGGTGCCACATCCCCTCCGTTTACTGGATCAGAACCCTGCTTCTTTTAGGTGAAACGATTTGATTTGACCAGAACACGAGTAGCTAGCATTTCAGATCAGCTCTCCATTTTCGGCAGGAAATGCGTCCGACACTCCAATCATCCTGATTTCTGTGTTTTGGAGAATTCTAACGCTGTTAGCCATCTGCTGTGGGTCAGCGGGAGGACAGATGTGGACACTTCCCTGAGTCTCTGCTGAAGGAAATCGCCAATCCTGCTTCCGAGTTCCTCAGTGGGGCTTTTCTGTGATTATCTGAGTCAACTCCCAGCATGCAGTTTGGTGTTACTGAACAGTGACCTGACGCCTGCAGCCCCAGAAGTGTTTGAGTTACTCTGCGGTGCTTTAATTACCCTTGGTGTGTGTGTGTGGGTGAGAGAGAGAGAGAGAGAGAGAGAGAGGATGTAATTAGTCATTTGTGTGAATGAGGACAGTCTCACTATGATTCTTGTGTAACTTGCCACTGTGTGTGTGTGTGTGTGTGTGTGTGTGTGTGTGTGTGTGTGTGTGTGTGTGTGTGTGTGTGTGTGTGGAGCAGGCTTGCTGGGACTCCAGCTGATTAACGGTAAGAACGAGTCGGCTCACATCACGGACGCCGTCGCCGTGGTGGCTCAGTCTCTCCAGGAGCTGTTTGAGAAGGAGAACATCACAGAGCCTCCTCGAGGCTGTGTGGGAAACACCAACATTTGGAGAACCGGGCCACTCTTCAAACGGTCAGTACCACCTGCCACTCAGAGGTCAGCCTCCTGACCCGGTGTAAACCTTCACTGGTGTCTCGTGGTAAGCTTTGTGTGTGTTTGAGGCTCCTGGTGACGCCTTAAAACTTTTAGGAGCACATGAATCAGCTGGTCTGGTACGGGTTACTCTATTCTAGTCTGATCTAGTTTAGTCTGGTCTGGTCCAAACAGATTTCATTATTTGATCTGGATTCAGATTGATATGAGAAGCAGAAAGATGATGAGGGAACATCATGCCTCTGACCACACAAACCACCAGTCAGCTGATTCCTCTTGTGGTCCAGGTCACTGGAAGCCTGCAAGCCATCCTGTATGTGTGAATATATGTTCTGACCACTACCCATAGACAGATCTCAGTTGTGAGGTAGAATCTAAGGTTGTCTTTCAAACAGTCTCCGCATGCTGTTGGACAATGCACAACGTGTCGTACTCACCGCTACAGATGTCAGTCAACAGTAGAAGAAGACACAGATGCATCATTTATCTAAAGAAAGAACGTGTCTGCTGTTGACTCAAAGAAAAGCCTGAGTCTAGTACAAAGTTGATGCCGAAGCCATTTTAAATGAGCTGTCGCAATCTTTGTTTTTTCACTCAGTTGCAGTAACATCCCATCCACCAAACCAATAGAGCGCTGTGATTGGTCCACCAAACCGATAGAGCGCTGTGATTGGTCCACCAAACCGATAGAGCGCTGTGATTGGTCCACCAAACCAATAGACTGCTGTGATTGGTCCACCAAACCGATAGAGCACTGTGATTGGTCCACCAAACCCATAGAGTGCTGTGACTGGTCCACCAAACCGACAGAGCGCCGTGATTGGTCCACCAATGCGACAGAGTGCTGTGATTGGTCCACCAAACCGATAGAGCGCTGTGATTGGTCCACCAAACCAATAGACTGCTGTGATTGGTCCACCAAACCGATAGAGCACTGTGATTGGTCCACCAAACCCATAGAGTGCTGTGACTGGTCCACCAAACCGACAGAGCGCCGTGATTGGTCCACCAATGCGACAGAGTGCTGTGATTGGTCCACCAAACCGATAGAGCGCTGTGATTGGTCCACCAAACCCATAGAGTGCTGTGACTGGTCCACCAAACCGACAGAGCGCCGTGATTGGTCCACCAACGCGACAGAGTGCTGTGATTGGTCCACCAAACCGACAGAGTGCTGTGATTGGTCCACCAAACCAATAGAGCGCTGTGATTGGTCCACCAAACCGACAGAGCGTTGTGATTGGTCCACCAAACCGACAGAGCGTTGTGATTGGTCCACCAAACCGACAGAGCGTTGTGATTGGTCCACCAAACCAACAGAGCACTGTGATTGGTCCACCAAAGCGACAGAGCACTGTGATTGGTCCACCAAACCTATAGAGCGCTGTGACTGGCATGACATGAGACCGTTCGGACCTGCTGAGGTTCCAACGGAGCATGGCTAGACCGACCTGCAAAGCAAAATAATTTAGCTTCTGCTATGGTCCATTTAGATTTATAGGCTAGGTCACTAGCAGACAATTGTCAATTTATGTCTACAATATGTCCTGTTTACTGATTGGATCCTCAGGGTGCTGATGTCATCAAAGTACCCAGATGGCCTGACAGGACGAATTGAGTTCAACGATGATGGCGACCGGCGTTTTGCCACTTACAGCATCTTGAACTACCAACAGAAACCAGGTCGCCTTGTCCAGGTCGGAGTCTTCAACGGAACACAGGTAAGACACTCCCAGTCCTCCAGACGGACAGGTGCTGGTCCCACGGACCAGAGATGGAGACGCCTGCAGGCATCAGCGGATTCTGAAAGGCTCTTGCCCTCCTCAAGGATGGATAAGCTTAGAAGAGGCTTTCTCCAATGTTCTTCAGACGTTTGTGCTGTCAGGGAGCTTTACCTGTACACCATTCCACGTTAAGCTGGGTTAAGCTTGAGTTTTAGGTGTTGAACTGGGAGTGAAGAAACAATAGCAATATACATTTCTAAATAACTGTCCCTTGATAGACATTTGAGAACAAGTGTTACTCCATGCTGGACCAACCAGCTAAGGGCCTCGGCCCGGTTTGACCACGCATGTGTGAGATTAGTCTCAGCAGTCTGAGTTTGTGTTCCAGGTTGTGATGAACCCCCAGAGGAAGATCATCTGGCCTGGAGGAGAGACAGAGAAACCAGTTGGGTACCAGATGTCCACCAAGCTGAAGGTGCCGACTATCAGGGTTTACTGATGTGGTTCTGGTTCTGTCCTCCTTCAGTCTGGTCTGTTTGTGTTTGTGTTCAGATCGTAACGATCCACCAAGAGCCGTTTGTTTATGTCAAACCGACGAAGAGCGACGGGACGTGTAAAGAGGAGTACACTGTTAACGGAGTTCTAATCAAGAAGGTTATCTGTACTGGACCCAACGGAACCATACCAGGTACACAGACAGTCCTGAGCCAGACCTGTGACCTGTTAAACGTGTTAAACTTGTTAGACCTGTTAGAACCTGTAGCTGGGAACACGATCCATCTCTTGTGTGTTCAGGTCAGCCCATCGTCCCTCAGTGCTGTTACGGGTTCTGCATCGACCTGCTCATCAAGCTCGCCATGAGCATGAACTTCACCTATGAAGTTCACCTGGTGGCTGATGGGAAATTTGGAACACAGGAGCGAGTAAGTTTCCTTCATCCAATGGTAGTAAGTGCTCCCTACACCGTAAAACACCCAAGAGTGCTAGCACCGGATAGGATGATGTATTTATCTACTTCAATTCAATTAAAAAATACTTCATTAATCCCAGAGGGAAATTAGAGTTTCAGTACACACAATTCTGAGATCAGACATACATACATAGACACATGACAAGGCCTGGTGACTGTGGTCATTCGCAACCCGAGTCGCGCTACCTTAATAGATCAAGAGGGTTTATGTGAGGACAGAGTCGGGGGGAGGGGAAAAAGGCCCTTCGGAGTTACCCTCCACAGAGAGGGCAGCTTTGCTATGCAAAAAAACACCTCAGACAGAAATGCACACAGGCTTCAGACATTACACAACATAAGTGTCCACTAGGTGGGGAGGTAGGGTTGGGACTCTCCTCACTTCAGTGCGTGCAGCCGCATGGGGCAGCGCTCATCACCTCTGTTTGGACAGGGGAGGGAGATAATGGGTTAGAGAGCACGGTTCCACGGCCTTCACCGGTCACAGTCCCGCCCAGGCTGGGATAGGGAGAAAGTGTTTCCATAGCAATGGCAGCATTCCACATTTCTCCTGAGGGGGGAGTTTACACTTCAGCCTCACAGGCTCCAAGGGCACCAGATTTAGATCAAATTTGTTTGGGGACAGAGATAATTTCCTCTCTGCCTTAGTGCTCTGCTGGTCTACAACCCCTCTAGATCCAATAATGGCGTAATTAACCTATCCCGATCCGTGCTGATCCGTCAACTCTCTCCTTGATCGAATCCACCGAGCCTGAGCCCGAATCTCAGCCAAAGTTCCAAGCTTACGACTCATCTTGACAATTATATGAGTTTGTGCATTCACAGTGCGGTGTAATCCATCCCTGAGCTCCGGGATTGAGCCAATATTCCTCGAAAGCTCGTTAATTTTCCGGTAAGCCAGGTAACCGCTCAGGCCAAACAGCAGGAATCCCGACACCAAAACGACGAAAATCCAAACATCTTCAGAATTCTCTACAGACAGTTGAGAGAGGCAGCTCATGTTCCACTGTTTCCAGGAGTCCATGATATACCCGGGTGGCTCTGTCCCAGAGGGGCATCCGGGAGCCCCTTCTCCCGTTCTCATCGTTGAAAAAAAAATTCAATTGCGTTGAGAGCAGGGGCAGATTTAGGACTGAAGAAGATCCGGAGCTTAACACACGCGCGCGCACACACACACACATGTGACATGCACTAGTCACCATCATATATACCATAAATCCTCTAATACAGGCCGGTATTCAATTAAAGGCCGGGTCTCCAATTTTGGCCAGTGTCGGAGTCGGCGGAGGTGAATAATGGTCGGTCTCTTATTGTGGCCGGGTGCAATGTGGTAACAAGCAAGTACGAGTGCGGTTGTGTCATCCGTCTCACTTTTGATTTGCCAGTGATAGACCATGAGGGTAACTTTAACCGTGCGGAGACGAAGAGGAGGTGAAAATTTGATATCAAGTTCAAAGAGAACGTGCTGATTATGCTGCAGAACACTCTGGGGAGCAGTAGCAGGGGTTGTATGGGTGACGTGGTCATGAGCTTTGGGTAATGACCGAAAGAACGAGATCGCGGATACAAGCGGCCGAAATGAGTTTCCTCCGTAGGGTGGCCGGGCTCAGCCTTAGAGATAGGGTGAGGAGCTCGGACATTCGGGAGGGACTCGTAGTAGAACCGCTGCTCCTCCGGATCGAAAGGAGCCAGTTGAGGTGGTTTGGGCATCTGGTCAGGATGCCTCCTGGACGTCTCCCTGGGGAGGTGTTTCGGGCATGTCCTGCCGGCAGGAGGCCCCCGGGTCGACCCAGGACACGTTGGAGAGGTTACATCTCCAATCTGGTCCGGGAACGCCTTGGGGTGGAGGTGGCCGGTCTGGAGCTCCCTAGTTGGGATGCTGCCCCCGCGACCCGGACCCGGATAAGCGCAGGAAGACGACGACAATGACGGACAAACAACTGAGTCCTTCAGGTGTACTTCTGAGTTAAAAATGCTCATGAAATACGTATGTGGAGTAACCAGGTAGGCAGGTTTTAACGTTGCAAATCTGCAACGCCTGCCTCCAGAGGGTAAACAGTTAATGAGAACCTCAGAACCGCGTTCCTACACCGTGAGTCCCAGAGTTAAAGACCACATTTCAGCATCAGCACCACTTCCATGTTGGTCACTGTAATGCTAACGGCAGAACAATGCTAGGCCAAGCTACTGCTAAGCCTTAGCTGCTGCTAACACCCATCCTGGACAAGAGGAAGACAACATTGAAGAAAATCGGAGCACCACTCACGTTCCAGGGTGTACTGCGAATGAATGCCAGATCGATCCATAGCTTGTTCTGCCACTTTGTCCCTCACTTGTCCACAACACCACCCTCCACCACACACAGAACACGGAGTTTCTAGCTTCAGGCAGCATCATACAGTCATCATGATTAAACCAGCCAATCAGCATGCAGCTAATTTAATATTCATGTCCTTCCCGAGTCTTTTTATTGTGGCACTTTATTATGGGGTTGAGTTTGGTCATTTATCAGGGCTCCAGGGCCATTTTGAGCCCCAACAATGTTTCATAAGTTATATAAAGGCTCAGAGAACGGTTTCCAATTGTAAAAATACTCTTTCTAGGAAACCTTTAATAATTAAGTAAATCTGACATAATGAAGTGAAACGATCCAGAATGAACACGATGCTGTTATGATGAAATGAGTCTCAGCTCTTAGCTTTGTATTTATTTGAAATGTGATTTTAAAATGGATTCAGATTAAATAAAAATATCTGCAGAAAAAACACATTTATTTATATCATGAATACGTTCAGATTCATGAATCCTGTATTTATGGTCTAACTTCGAGCTTTGGGTCACGGCTGTTCAACCACAGATCAGAACCCGCCAGTCTGATCCAGAACCAGGAACGGTCACTTCATATACTGTATGCTCACTTAACTCTACCCATTCTGGATTATGGTGTGAATCATTTTCACCTTTATTAGTTTTATTCAATTAGTTTTAATTACAAAATGCACAATTAAATCACCGTTGCAGAGTGAAAAGATCCCGCTCAATCTAGTCTTTTCTGGTCCTGTCCAATCAGGGATTCGTGGTGATCACAAAGAGTTCTCAAAAAAAAAAGCTGAAAGCTTTCTGTCGTGATAAAACTCAGATTTGAACTTTGACCTTCTTTCTGCAGGTGAACAACAGCAACAAAAAGGAGTGGAATGGGATGATGGGTGAACTTCTGGGGGGACTGGCTGACATGATTGTGGCCCCCCTCACCATCAACAACGAGCGTGCTCAGTACATCGAGTTCTCCAAACCGTTCAAGTACCAGGGGCTAACCATCCTGGTTAAGAAGGTGAGGGCAGAGATGATAGGAAATGATCAAAGATGATCAGAGATCACAAGAAAAGTTTGTAGAAGATCAGAAGTGGAGATTAAAATCTCCACGTCAAAATTTAGATGTAGGAATGATATCTGATCAATCTTTCGTTAGACAGTTCAAAGTAAACTTATGTTTTGTTGTTTGTTGTTAAAGGCAAACAGTCATATCGCCATCACAACATTCAGACTGTTCATAAACTTAGCAGTCAGATGTTGTTCAGTCGGGTTCCTGCTGGTGTTTAAATGACTCCCGAGGACACTTGATGATGAACCAGCTGAGCCTTCAGCCATACTCAAGTCTCTGGTGGAAGATGTTACTCTAAACCATCAAGCTGGTGATCCAGCAGGTTCAGGTTCACAACAAAGATCAGGTCAAATAAAGTGTGTTGTTCTTGTCTTCAGGAAATCCCTCGTAGCACTTTGGACTCGTTCATGCAGCCTTTCCAGAGCACCCTGTGGTTATTAGTCGGCCTGTCGGTCCACGTGGTGGCAGTGATGCTCTACCTACTAGACCGGTTCAGGTACTACAGCTGTACTGCACCAGCACTACACCAACATTACACCAGTACCACACCGAAACTACACCAACATTACACCAGTACCACACCGAAACCACACCAACATTACACCAGTACCACACCAGCACTACACCAACATTACACCAGTACCACACCAGAAATACGCCAACATTACACCAGTACCACACCAGCACTACACCAACATTACACCAGTACCACACCGAAACTACACCAACATTACACCAGTACCACACCGAAACTACACCAACATTACACCAGTACCACACCAGAAATACGCCAACATTACACCAGTACCACACCAGCACTACACCAGCATTACACCATTACCACACCAGCACTACACCAACATTACACCAGTACCACACCAGAAATACGCCAACATTACACCAGTACCACACCAGCACTACACCAACATTACACCAGTACCACACCGAAACTACACCAACATTACACCAGCACTACACAAGCATTACACCAGTACCACACCAGAAATACACCAACATTACACCAGTACCACACAAGCAACACACCAACATTACACCACTACCACACCAGAAATACGCCAACATTACACCAGTACCACACCAGCACTACACCAACATTACACCAGTACCACACCGAAACTACACCAACATTACACCAGTACCACACCAAAACTACACCAACATTACACCAGTACCACACCAAAACTACACCAACATTACACCAGTACCACACCAGAAATACACCAACATTACACCAGTACCACACCAAAACTACACCAACATTACACCAGTACCACACCAGAAATACGCCAACATTACACCAGTACCACACCAGCACTACACCAACATTACACCAGTACCACACCGAAACTACACAAACATTACACCAGTACCACACCAAAACTACACCAACATTACACCAGTACCACACCAGAAATACACCAACATTACACCAGTACCACACAAGAAACACACCAACATTACACCAGTACCACACCAGAAATACGCCAACATTACACCAGTACCACACCAGCACTACACCAACATTACACCAGTACCACATCAGAAATACACCAACATTACACCGGTACCACAACGAAACTACACCAACATTACACCAGTACCACACCAGAAATACACCAACATTACACCAGTACCACACCAGAAATACACCAACATTACACCAGTACCACACCAGCACTACACCAACATTACACCAGTACCACACCAGAAATACACCAACATTACACCAGTACCACACCGAAACTACTTCAACATTACACCAGTACCACACCAGAAATACACCAACATTACACCAGTACCACACCAGAAATACACCAACATTACACCAGTACCACACCAGCAATAAACCAACATTACACCAGTATCACACCAGAAATACACCAACATTACACCAGTACCACAACAGCACTACACCAACATTACACCAGTACCACACCAGAAATACACCAACATTACACCAGTACCACACCAGAAATACACCAACATTACACCAGTACCACACCAGAAATACACCAACATTACACCAGTACCACACCAGCAATAAACCAACATTACACCAGTATCACACCAGAAATACACCAACATTACACCAGTACCACAACAGCACTACACCAACATTACACCAGTACCACACCAGAAATACACCAACATTACACCAGTACAGCACCGAAACTACACCAACATTACACCAGTACCACACCAGAAATACACCAAAATTACACCCGTACCACACCAGAAATACACCAAGATTACACAAGTACCACACCAGCAATAAACCAACGTTACACCAGTATCACACCAGAAATACACCAACATTACACCAGTACCACAACAGCACTACACCAAAATTTTACCAGTACCACACCAGAAATATACCAACATTACACCAGTACCACACCAGAAATATACCAACATTACACCAGTACCACACCAGAACTACACCAACATTACACCAGTACCGCATCAGCACTACACCAACATTACACCAGTACCACACCAGCACTACACCAACATTACACCAGTACCACACCAAAACTACACCAACATTACACCAGTACCACACCAGCACTACACCAACATTACACCAGTACCACAACAGCACTACACCAACATTACACCAGTACCACACCAGAAATATACCAACATTACACCAGTACCACAACAGCACTACACCAACATTACACCAGTACCACACCAGAAATACACCAACATTACACCTGTACCACACCAAAACTACACCAACATTACACCAGTACCACACCAGAAATATACCAACATTACACCGGTACCACACCAGAAATACACCAACATTCCACCACAACCACACCAAAACTACACCAACATTACACCAGTACCACACCAGAAATACGCCAACATTATGCCAGTACCACACCAGATCTACACCAACATTACACCAGTACCACACCATAAATACACCAACAATATGCCAGTACCACACCAGAAATACACCAACATTCCACCACAACCACACAAAAACTACACCAACATTACACCAGTACCACACCAGAAATACGCCAACATTACACCAGTACCACACCAGAAGTACACCAACATTACACCAGTGCCACACCAGAAATATACCAACATTACACCAGTACCACACCAGAAATACACCAACATTACACCAGTACCACACCAAAACTACACCAACATTACACCAGTACCACACCAGAAATACACCAACATTACACCAGTACCACACCAGAAATACGCCAACATTACACCAGTACCACACCAGAAATACACCAACATTACGCCAGTACCACACCAGAAATATACCAACATTACACCAGTACCACACCAAAACGACACCAACATTACACCAGTACCACACCAGTAATACACCAACATTACACCAGTACCACACCAGCACTACAACATTACACCAGTACCACACCAGCACTACACCAACATTACACCAGTACCACACCAGAAATATACCAATATTACACTGGTACCACACCAGAACTACACCAACATTACACCAGTACCTCACCAGAAATACACCAACATTCCACCACAACCACACCAAAACTACACCAACATTACACCAGTACCACACCAGAAATACGCCAACATTATGCCAGTACCACACCAGATCTACACCAACATTACACCAGTACCACACCAGAAATACACCAACAATATGCCAGTACCACACCAGAAATACACCAACATTCCACCACAACCACACAAAAACTACACCAACATTACACCAGTACCACACCAGAAATACGCCAACATTACACCAGTACCACACCAGAAGTACACCAACATTACACCAGTACCACACCAAAACTACACCAACATTACACCAGTACCACACCAGAAATATACCAACATTACACCAGTACCACACCAGAAATATACCAACATTACACCAGTACCACACCAAAACTACACCAACATTACACCAGTACCACACCAGAAATACACCAACATTACACCAGTACCACACCAGAAATACGCCAACATTACACCAGTACCACACCAGAAATACACCAACATTACGCCAGTACCACACCAGAAATATACCAACATTACACCAGTACCACACCAAAACGACACCAACATTACACCAGTACCACACCAGTAATACACCAACATTACACCAGTACCACACCAGCACTACAACATTACACCAGTACCACACCAGCACTACACCAACATTACACCAGTACCACACCAGAAATATACCAATATTACACCGGTACCACACCAGAACTACACCAACATTACACCAGTACCACACCAGAAATACACCAACATTCCACCACAACCACAGTAAAACTACACCAACATTACACCAGTACCACACCAGAAATACACCAACATTACACCAGTACCACACCAGAAGTACACCAACATTACGCCAGTACCACACCAAAACTACACCAACATTACACCAGTACCACACCAGAAATACGTCAACATTATGCCAGTACCACACCAGAAATACGCCAACATTACACCAGTACCACACCAGAAATACACCAACATTACACCAGTACCACACCAGAAGTACACCAACATTACGCCAGTACCACACCAAAACTACACCAACATTACACCAGTACCACACCAGAAATACGTCAACATTATGCCAGTACCACACCAGAAATACGCCAACATTACACCAGTACCACACCAGACATACACCAACATTACACCAGTACCACACCAGAAATACACCAACATTACACCAGTACCACACCAGAAATACACCAACAATACACCAGTACCACACCAGAAATACACCAACATTCCACCACAACCACACCAAAACTACACCAACATTACACCAGTACCACACCAGAAATACACCAACAATACGCCAGTACCACACCAGAAATACACCAACATTCCACCACAACCACACCAAAACTACACCAACATTACACCAGTACCACACCAGAAATATGCCAACATTACACCAGTACCACACCAGAAGTACACCAACATTATGCCAGTACCATACCAAAACTACACCAACATTACACCAGTACCACACCAGAAATACGCCAACATTATGCCAGTACCACACCAGAAATACACCAACATTACACCAGTACCACACCAGAAATACACCAACATTACACCAGTACCACACCAGAAACACACCAACATTACACCACTACCACACCAAAACTACACCAATATTACACCAGTGCCACACCAGAAATACACCAACATTACACCAGTACCACACCAGAAATATACCAACATTACACCAGTAGACACACACACACACACACACACACACTGGATCTCTTTCGGTTTGGGACCATGACTGGTGGACTAAACTAACTGGAGCATGGGGACAACATGCTATCTTACTGACTGAAGGTGTGACTTTGCAGCCCTTTCGGGAGGTTTAAAGTCAACAGTGAAGAAGAAGAAGAAGATGCCCTCACCTTGTCTTCTGCCATGTGGTTCTCATGGGGAGTCCTACTGAACTCTGGGATCGGAGAAGGTAACAAACACAGGACGCCCACGCCTCCCAGTGCTGTCACCCTCACATGAATGTTTCGTTTGTTCGTTGCAGGAGCTCCAAGGAGCTTCTCCGCCAGGATCCTGGGGATGGTGTGGGCAGGTTTTGCTATGATCATCGTAGCTTCGTATACTGCCAACCTGGCAGCCTTCCTGGTGCTGGACCGGCCTGAGGAGCGCATCACTGGCATCAATGACCCCAGGGTGAGACTGTGATCAGATCAGTATACACCTGAACCAGAAACAGGTCGTCCCTGATTGGTCGAAGACAGCTGCATATTTAAGAGATAGGTTTTCCATAGGAAAGTTTGAACTAATTGGCACAATGAACTGAACTCAGTTCACTCATAAAAAGGTTCATTAGGAATGTTTATTTTGTGAAGTGCTTTGAGCCTCTTGCTGTAATTTGGCACTATGCAAATAAATTGAATGGAACTGAGCAATTCTGAACAAGTCTGAACTTTATTTTTGCTGAGCTTAAGTTGACTTTCAGTCAGATGTCTGTGCAAAGTCTTGTAAATGAGGTCCTGGGCTACAGGTGGGTTACACTGAGTGTTCAGGTGACCTTAGAGAATAGTAACAGGGTTATAGTTTGGGTTTGTTGGGCCATCTGACCTTGTTTGTTTACTTTGCTTATTCTAGCTGCGTAACCCATCAGATAAATTCATCTACGCCACAGTGAAGCAGAGCTCTGTGGACATCTACTTCAGACGGCAGGTGGAACTGAGTACTATGTACCGACACATGGAGAAACACAACTACGAGAGTGCTGCCGAGGCCATCCAGGCAGTCCGAGACAAGTAGGACAATAGACCAGGTCCAGGTACAACCTACCTGTCTTATCTCCACTCTTAATGGCTGTGTGCCCTCCTTCAGCAAACTGCATGCCTTCATCTGGGACAGTGCTGTGCTGGAGTTTGAAGCATCGCAAAAATGTGATCTGGTAACAACTGGAGAGCTTTTCTTCCGCTCTGGGTTTGGGATCGGAATGAGGAAAGACAGTCCGTGGAAGCAAAACGTTTCTTTGGCGATCCTAAGGTACTGAGGGCAACAACAGTCCCTGAAAAATGCTGAGCTCATCTAGCTTCACCCACTGATGCCCCGCCCACTCCTGCTGTCTCTGCAGCTCTCATGAAAATGGCTTCATGGAGGATCTGGACAAGACGTGGGTTCGATACCAGGAGTGTGACTCCAGGAGCAACGCACCTGCCACCCTTACCTTTGAAAATATGGCAGGTAAAACAGGCTCCTCCTCCTCTTTATTATTCAAGTGTTAGTGGGACACACTGACATCACCTGTCCTTCTCAGGCGTGTTCATGCTGGTGGCCGGCGGTATCGTCGCAGGAATCTTCCTCATCTTTATTGAGATCGCCTACAAACGACATAAAGATGCTCGCAGGAAACAGATGCAGCTGGCATTCGCAGCAGTGAATGTTTGGCGGAAAAACCTGCAAGTATGACCTTTTATTCAAGTATAGTGTACTCTTACCCTAGTCTACTCTACTCTACTCTACTCTAATGTACTCCCACTGTAATCTCCTTTACTCAACTCTACTCTACTCTTCTCTACTCTACTCTACAGTTCTTCACTATGTACTCCCACTGTACTGTACTCTACTCTACTGTACTGTACTGTACTCTACTCTACTCTACTCTATTCTTCTCAATACTTCTCTACTGTGTACTCCCACTCTACTCTTCTCTACTCTACCCTACTCCACTCTACTCTACGCTACACTTCCCTACTGTGTACTCTACTCTACTCTACACTTCTCTACTCTACTCTACAGTTCTTCACTATGTACTCCCACTGTACTGTACTCTACTCTACTGTACTGTACTGTACTCTACTCTACTCTACTCTATTCTTCTCAATACTTCTCTACTGTGTACTCCCACTCTACTCTTCTCTACTCTACCCTACTCTACTCTACTCTACGCTACACTTCCCTACTGTGTACTCTACTCTACTCTACACTTCTCTACTCTACTCTACAGTTCTTCACTATGTACTCCCACTGTACTGTACTTTACTCTACTATACTATACTCTACTCTACTCTAATGTACTCCCACTGTAATCTCCTTTACTCAACTCTACTCTACTCTTCTCTACTCTACTCTACAGTTCTTCACTATGTACTCCCACTGTACTGTACTCTACTCTACTGTACTCTACTCTACTCTACTCTATTCTTCTCAATACTTCTCTACTGTGTACTCCCACTCTACTCTTCTCTACTCTACCCTACTCCACTCTACTCTACGCTACACTTCCCTACTGTGTACTCTACTCTACTCTACACTTCTCTACTGTGTACTCCCACTGTACTCTTCTCTACCCTACTCCACTCTACTCTACTCTACTCTATACTTCTCTAGTGTGTACTCCAACTGTACTCTACTCTACCCTACTCCACTCTACTCTACGCTACACTTCCCTACTGTGTACTCTACTCTACTCTACACTTCTCTACTGTGTACTCCCACTGTACTCTTCTCTACCCTACTCCACTCTACTCTACTCTATACTTCTCTAGTGTGTACTCCAACTGTACTCTTCTCTACTCTACCCTACTCCACTCTACTCTACGCTACACTTCCCTACTGTGTACTCTACTCTACTCTACACTTCTCTACTGTGTACTCCCACTGTACTCTACTCTACCCTACTCCACTCTACTCTACGTTACACTTCCCAACTGTGTACTCTACTCTACTCTACTCTACTCTATACTTCTCTAGACTGTACTCCAACTGTACTCTACTCTACCCTACTCCACTCTACTCTACACTACACTTCCCTACTGTGTACTCTACTCTACTCTACACTTCTCTACTGTGTACTCCCACTGTACTCTACTCTACCCTACTCCACTCTACTCTACGCTACACTTCCCTACTGTGTACTTTACTCTACTCTACTCTACTCTACTCTATACTTCTCTACTCTGTACTCCCACTGTACTCTACTCTACCCTACTCCACTCTACTCTACGCTACACTTCCCTACTGTGTACTCTACTCTACTCTACTCTACTCTACTCTACTCTACTCTACTCTTCTCTACTCTACAGTTCTCCACTATGTACTCCCACTGTACTGTACTCTACTCTACTCTACTCTACTCTACTCTACTCTACTCTACTCTACTCTATTCTTCTCAATACTTCTCTACTGTGTACTCCCACTCTACTCTTCTCTACTCTACCCTACTCCACTCTACTCTACGCTACACTTCCCTACTGTGTACTCCCACTGTACTCTACCCTACTCCACTCTACTCTATGTTACACTTCCCTACTGTGTACTCTACTCTACTCTACTCTTCTCAACTCTACAGTTCTCCACTATGTACTCCCACTGTACTCTACTCTACTCTACTCTATTCTACTCTACTCTATTCTTCTCAATACTTCTCTACTGTGTACTCCAACTGTACTCTTCTCTACTCTACCCTACTCCACTCTACTCTACGCTACACTTCCCTACTGTGTACTCTACTCTACTCTACACTTCTCTACTGTGTACTCCCACTGCACTCTACTCTACCCTACTCCACTCTACTCTACGTTACACTTCCCAACTGTGTACTCTACTCTACTCTACTCTACTCTACTCTATACTTCTCTAGTGTGTACTCCAACTGTACTCTACTCTACCCTACTCCACTCTACTCTACACTACACTTCCCTACTGTGTACTCTACTCTACTCTACACTTCTCTACTGTGTACTCCCACTGTACTCTACTCTACCCTACTCCACTCTACTCTACGCTACACTTCCCTACTGTGTACTCTACTCTACTCTACTCTACTCTATACTTCTCTACTCTGTACTCCCACTGTACTCTACTCTACCCTACTCCACTCTACTCTACGCTACACTTCCCTACTGTGTACTCTACTCTACTCTACTCTACTCTACTCTTCTCTACTCTACAGTTCTCCACTATGTACTCCCACTGTACTGTACTCTACTCTACTCTACTCTATTCTTCTCAATACTTCTCTACTGTGTACTCCCACTCTACTCTTCTTTACTCTACCCTACTCCACTCTACTCTACGCTACACTTCCCTACTGTGTACTCCCACTGTACTCTACCCTACTCCACTCTACTCTATGTTACACTTCCCTACTGTGTACTCTACTCTACTCTACTCTTCTCAACTCTACAGTTCTCCACTATGTACTCCCACTCTACTCTACTCTACTCTACTCTACTCTACTCTTCTCAATACTTCTCTACTGTGTACTCCCACTCTACTCTTCTCTACTCTACCCTACTCCACTCTACTCTACGCTACACTTCCCTACTGTGTACTCCCACTGTACTCTACCCTACTCCACTCTACTCTATGTTACACTTCCCTACTGTGTACTCTACTCTACTCTACTCTATACTTCTCTAGTGTGTACTCCAACTGTACTCTACTCTACCCTACTCCACTCTACTCTACGCTACACTTCCCTACTGTGTACTCTACTCTACTCTACTCTACTCTATACTTCTCTACTCTGTACTCCCACTGTACTCTACTCTACCCTACTCCACTCTACTCTACGCTACACTTCCTTACTGTGTACTCTACTCTACTCTATACTTCTCTACTCTGTACTCCCACTGTACTCTACTCTACCCTACTCCACTCTACTCTACGCTACACTTCCCTACTGTGTACTCTACTCTACTCTACTCTACACTTCTCTACTGTGTACTCCCACTGTACTCTACTCTACTCTACCCTACTCCACTCTACTCTAAGCTACACTTCCCTACTTTGTACTCTACTCTACTCTACTCTACTCTACTCTATACTTCTCTACTCTGTACTCCCACTGTACTCTACTCTACCCTACTCCACTCTACTCTACGCTACACTTCCCTACTGTGTACTCTACTCTACTCTACTCTACTCTACTATACTCTACTCTACTCTATACTTCTCTACTCTGTACTCCCACTGTACTCTACTCTACCCTACTCCACTCTACTCTACGCTACACTTCCCTACTGTGTACTCTACTCTACTCTACTCTACTGTACTCCACACTACACTTCCCTACTGTGTACTCCCACTGTACTCTACTCCACTCTTTTCTCCTCTGCTTTAACATTTAAATTACTATATTCTACTCTACTTTGCTCTTCTTTTTTATTATATTCTACACTGTTTCCCCTGATGTGTTCTGCTGGGTAGGGGAGTTAAGAGTGGCTCAGCAGTGTCTTTGAGCTGATGGTGTTGTGTTCCTTTTGTTGTTGTTGTTTTTGAATGAAATGTTAGAAAAACGTTTTTATATTTAGAATGAAAACTGACTCAAAACTTTCTTCACATGAATGTTCAGGAAGCCGGTCTGATCTTAAAGTGTTTAGTAATGTGACCCTCATAGTTTTGTCCAAGTAGGTAAAGAAACTCAGGAGCTAGACTTCTTAATCCTGTTGGATTTGAACATTTGTTACTGGAGCTTCAAAATTGGTACTCCACATTTCTCACTTTGAAGGTCCTGTGTTGAGAAGCAAAGCGTCTTTAAGTAAAGAAGTCTGGTGGCCTTGTTTCTGAACCTCCTGGGCTACCGAGACCTGGTGAATTTGAGGCATCCGTTTCTTAGTGGTCAAACGTGATATTAAGATGGTGTTGCTGGTTTTAAGCCCAACAGGTTTCTGATCATGTTTGCTTCAGCACGGCAGAAGGGTTTACTCAGATGTTTTATTAGTGGGTTCTGTTGTTCAAACGGGACCATTTGATGCTTTCGACTCATCCCATCCACTCCTGTCAGTCAATATTCAGCTGTTCAAACAGTCAGCAGTCAAAAATATTTGATTCATAAATCCTTCAATTCCAAAACATCTGCCGCAAAAAGACCTCTGAACAGCTCCAGATATTTACCGTATGATAAAATTGAAAAAAAGTTCAAACATTTGGGTTTAAAGACACTTTTGTAGCATTGATGTTTTTATGAGTGAATTAGTTTTACCTTTACTTTCCTAGTGAGCTCTAATTGTTCAGCGCCAGCATCATGATCAAACCCTGACTACTACCCCACCACCCCAGATCTCCAACCACGGGGCTGCGCAAAAGGTCAAAAAGACAGAAAATGGCAAAGTCACCAGAGTTGAAATATCATGAGAAACTCTTGTTACGGGATCAGGACCTGACCCACAGAATCACCACGAGACACGGAAGGTGAAGTGTAACACATTTTTTTATTAATCAAAGGAAAACTAAAGGCGCTGAAGGGGAAGTCCGAGCAGGAAGAGTCCACAGGGGGGTGTAGAAGACAAGCTTCAGTTAGGTTGCAGACTGGAGTCTCAATTTAGCAAATAAATTTTGCAGGTTTTTTCCTGTCTTACTTGTTCCTAAGGAGTCAAGCTCGCTGAAGGGGTGGGGATGCGGTAAGGACAGGGTGAGCCAAGGGTTTCCAGGAGGCAGAGGAAGCTGAGCACCGGGGGTGCAAGAGACCCAGATGGGACGAGGGTCCGGTGAATTCAAGGGAAGCAGGTGAGCGGCTGAGAGCGGACAGCCAGGGGAAGCAGTGAGATTAGGAACCAGTAGTGAGAGCCAGGAAGTTATGGAGCTGGGTGGAGATGAGCTTGAGATGTCCTGGAGACAACACAGAACGAAATTTCAAGCTGAAGAGCAGACAAATGGATCTCACAACGAAAACGGCTAATAATTACTGGAGGATTAACAGAAAGAACCATCTATCTTGATCATCACTATCGCCAAAGTTCTTATCCGATTCTAAACCGCTAGTCAACAAAGATCTGAACCGAGGAGAGAAAGACGGGGAGTTAAACTGTGATTCTCTCCCTGAGAAGTGAGATCTGCCGTCTCTTAAGCCATCAGCGCTGATTAGGGGATTGCTTGCAGCTGGGGTGCCGAAGGCGGGCAGAGGAGGAAGCCAGTCCACCGGAGGACCTGTCCAAGGTCCTGAACAGCAAAGGAAGGAGCAGACTTGGGCCTTTCAGGAAGCGGGAGCCCAGGATCCGTAACAGTTATCATCCAGCAAAGTGAAGGTGTCTCACTGCAGCTCATGTCCCTTCTTCTTCCCCGTGTGCAATCTCCTCCCAGCTCTTCTTTAGAAGTTCTCCGTCTTTCCGGCCAGGCCAAGAAACCGTATCCCTCTAAGCATGTAGCTTCACCTGGGGGCACAGCCTACAAGCAAGCTTTTCCCGTCTTGAGCCAGCATCTCCATCTGGCTCCATGTGTAGTCCTTCCTCTTGAAGTCCGCCTCCATTCACAGCGCCATGCGTTTCTAGGCCATCCCCTCGTTCTTTAGGTGAGGGCTTCTCTCGTCATACTGGACGTGGGTTTATGGAGTGCATCGCCGAACCATTGGATGATCTCCTCTTCCATGAGCTGCCGTCTTGCTCATTGCCACAGTTCTTTATCAGCAATTCTGTAAGGCAAGTGGATCCTCGCGTTCCCATTAGGAAATCTTACAGACGTGTTCATGACGGAAAACGCATTCACACAAATCGTCTTCCATCACTGTCCTCTTTCCTCGTGCCGGTCACTCATGAGCAAAACTGCCTGCCGCTTCCTGTTGGAACAACTCTACCGTTGCTGTGTTCGCACAACCCTCGGTGAAAAGATGAAGGAAATTCTGAAGATGCTTGTGCACAAGGGAGAGAACACACACACACACATACAACAGAAGTACGTGCCAAACGAAGACAGAAGGCTCCGTCTGCCCCGGGGCTCTGTCGAACACACTTAGCTTTAGCTGCTACAACATGCTAACTCTACACACGGGGAGAACAGGTCATGTCTGCACAGTATCGGGAGTTTATAAGTCATTTATAGAGTCGGCTCTGGCGTCCTATAAGACAGGGAGTTGACTCAGAAGTTTACTGGCGGCGTTTATCGGTTAAACAGCCGAGGTGGAGCTGGAACGGTTTCTGGAGTCTGTTCTGGCTCTATGAAGCAGATCCGATGGAGGGATCCTGGAAAAGCCCAGTTATGGTTCTGGCTCCATTAATGGTCCGGTTCCGTTGTTATTTAGGTGCTGCAGTAGCGGAGCAGCTTGTCCAGTAATTGGAGAGTTGTCGGATCAAATTCTGCCATCGTGTCCTTTAGTAAGACACCTCACCCTCAACACACACACACACACACACACCATTCCCCTGATGTGGTGGTGGTTGGAGGGACTCGGTGTGTTCCTGGGCAGCTGTGGCTATGATGCAGCTCATTGTCATCAGCGTGTGAACGGATGTGTGTGAATGGGTGAATGACTGTTGTGTAAACGGACTCAGAAAGGTTGAAGTTATGTCACACACTGGTGTGTATGACATTTGTTCTCTGCATCCGATCCATCCCCTGGGGGAGCGGAGAGCTGCGGACACGGGTCCATTTAGCGGTTTAACCCCCCAATCCAACCCCGTGAGGCTGAGCGTCAAGCAGGGAGGCACTGGGTCCCATTTCTCCAAAGTCGTGGGCATGACCCGACGGGGATTTGAATCCCGATCTCCCAGCGCCGGGTGGACACTCATGTCACTATGGTACGGTTCAGGTGCTGTCCATTAGTCGATTGTTATTTCTCTTGTTATTAGTTTAGTTCCATTCTCGTTGGTCCGGTTCTGCTGCCAACCAGAAACACTGATTCCCAGGTCTCATCTGAGGTGCACACTGTGATGGGTCGAAGGTCAAACTGAGGATGATATCAGCTGTCAGGCACCATGCCACCATCCGCCGCTGCCCCTCCCCCTCTGTCTTTGGCCCCTCCCCCTGGAGAGCTGACATCATCACAGCTAACTGTTGCTATAGTTATGTGATGTGATCATCCCTCCATCCGCCATCTTTGTTCCCCCTCAACCTCCTTGTGCTCGTCCCTCACAGGAAATGTCCCTTTGATGTCTCTGACAGATTTCCTGTTGTGTCTCTGTGTTGATGTTGTTGTTTACCTGCTGCTGTGTGTTTATTGGCGGTAAAACGCAACGCCCGTTTTACTGAAACAACACTTCATCTGACCAAAAATGAGACCTTTTACTTTGGTGAGACTGCGTGCTTCAAACACACTCGCCGAGGGCAGGTTTATGTTGAGGGCTCCAAGAACAGACGGAGAGCTGCGGGTTTCATAACCTGCTGCTGTGATCAGCAGATGGACTGCACACACACACACACACACACCATTCCTGCACCATACGTATGATGTATTTTTATCAACAAGTCTCCAACCATGCCTCCTGCTGCTGAGCCTGCAGTGAAATGATGAAAGAGGAACTGAAACGTCCTGAAACTCACGGACATCTGAAGTAGAAGTCCAACTAGCCAGCTAACAGGAAACCAGTTCAGTACTAACCCTGAGGAGAACACGGTATGATGACTCGGCTGGTTTTGTGCAGCTTGGGCCCGCAAGTGATGAGTGAGAGGATTAAACATGGCTGGGTGATCATTGGGTGAAGGGTCGTGAACACACACTTCCTGCAGCATTTGACAGTAAAATGTTGTCTGAGTTTAACTGAACAGACACCCTCTGGTCCTGTGGAGGGCTTTTATTGTGAAGGATGTGATGCAGCCCTTTGACCAATCAGAGAGCAGCACAGAGGAAGCATGACACAGAATCATAATTGATAGTGAAAATAGGTGTGTGTGTGTGTGTGTGTGTGTGCGTGTGTGCGTGTGCGTGTGCGTGTGTGTGTGTGTGTGTGTGTGTGTGTGTGTGTGTGCGTGTGTGTGTGTGTATGTCTCTGCTGCGTGTTAATGTGTGTGTGCACCTATCGTATGATTTATTATAGGATAGGAAAAGTGGTAGAGCAGAGCCCGAGTCCAATACCTCTTTTAGGTCCATCACTTCGACCTACGACCTCAAACGCCGTATGGCCCCCGGAGACGCCACGGTAAGGAGATGAAGACCACCTGTCCTCCTCTGTCTTCTTCTTGCTTTCATCTCTTTTTACCTCTGTCTCTTCTCTTTCTCTGACTTGTTTGCTTTCCTCCATCACTTTATTTATTCTCCTCTTCTGTCTCCCACCTCCTCCTTGACCCGTCCGTCTATCCGTCCTCCTTCGGCGCACCTGTCTCTCAGACAGGTTGAGGACAGAACGTGTTATTTGATGCGTCTGGGTAGGGCAGACATCTCGATCACGTCATATTCTTGCAAAGGAGAAGTGAAGAGGGTCAGACTGTGTGGTTGTCCTGTCCTGTCCTGTGTGTCCAGTTTATCATGTCCTGTCCTGTCTGTCCTCGTCCTCCCTGTTTGTCTCTTCCTCTCCTGTCTCATCTCTGTCCTCTCATCTCAGTTTTGTCTTCCACTAATGGCCCATTGGAATCCTCACAGGTTGGACCTGTCTCCGTCCTCTAACCTGTCTCCTTTTCAGCGTCCCCTCCAGGCTCTGGTCTCCGTGGGACGTGGTTTTTCAGGCTCTGTCTCCCGATGTGTCCTGTCCTCAGCCTCCTGGACTTTGTTTTATCTGTGATGATTTATTTCTGTGGATTTAAAATCGTGTTTATTCCTTCGTCTGCAAACACCTGTGTCGTCTCTGGAAGTGAAACCGTCCCCTCGGGGACAGCTGGACGGGTTGAGCATATTTCAGAACCAGCTGAGGGACGTGTTGCAGTGGACTCTGACCCGCTTCTTTGTGATGATCTCTCTCTTATATTGGTGTTTTTCTCTCTGAGTGGGCTTGAGTGGCGTCCAGACTACACACACACTGCCTCTGTCCTCCTCTGCAAGCACGACTGTAGCTCCGCCTACAAAACACCTCACCTGCATTACCTGCGCTGGAAAGACAGAACCAGTCCGGAACCGTTCAGGTTCTGGTACACAGAAACGTCATGTTCTTAGCAACTTTTTTTCCATTTCTTTTTTTTTTTTTTGTTGCTTCGGGTTGTTTTAAGTGGGAGTTATAAATAAAGTTTCATTTGAATCACAGAAAAACCACAAACATGAAATCAAAACAAAGGTGAGTTTCCACAATAAAAGCATGAACATCCTGCAATAATAAATACTAACAAACTAAATATTAATGGATTTAGTCTGCGAGGCCATATTTTGTTCAGCTGCATCAACAGTCACACTTCAGGATTTATTATTTCATTAAAGATTAAAGAGAAACTAAAAAATCTAAACAAAGAGGGAACTTCTCTTCCTGGTTCTGGAGTTCCTAAAGGTCCAAAACAGCAGAACAGAAACCCAAAACCAAACCGAGCCCGATCGAAATCAAAATATAAAACTTGAGTCTGGCTGTCAGACACACACATACACACATGCACGTGCGCGCGCGCCGCACACACACGCACACACACACACACCAGTAATTTTTTATCCTGCGGATCCAGATGGATTCAGGATGAGCTCCCAGTAAGTTTAGTTTGCGGTCAGAGTTTTGTTAATGTGTGTTTTCTCTCTCTCTCTGTCTGTTTTTGTCCCTCCTGCTGTAGCCATACCCAACTGACATCACCGGCCAGCTCAACCTATCAGATCCCTCTGTTAGCACCGTGGTGTGAGAGCAGGAGGAGGAGCGTCACTGCTGCTGGAACACACACACACACACACACACACACACACACACACACACACACACACACACACACACACACACACACACACAGCCTGCCCAGCTTGTATCCATCAATCTCCTGTCTCCAAAAGTTTTTTATTTTGAAAAAACGGCTTTTATTTTGGTGTGTGAAGTCTGTCCTGTTTCCTGTTGTGTATACCAGTTCAGACTGGTTTGTGCTGTCACTGCTGGTCATAAAATCACACCTGTTAATCAGGTAGCTGAGAAGCTGCAGCCTGATTGGTCAGTTTTTGTTCAGTTGCTGGCCCAGGAACTGACCAATCAGAAGCCTGAACACTGAGCATGGCAGGTGGGTGGAGCCTCTGGAACAGAAATCCCAATCCCAATACTTGCCCTGCACCCTTCAGCAAAGTGCACTAGGAGAAAATGCGCTGTGAGGCTTCGAGTGCGTGCCGGGATGCTGGTCGCTGTGTTACTTTTTTCAAAAACCTTTATTAACAACTTTCAAACAAACAACTGAACAGTTATTTGAAATGAATTTACATTCATTGCTGCTTTGTCTAAAAGTTTTGGAGCATCACCAAATCGTTCTAAAACAAACTAATTTTAGTAGAGAACACAGTTTCAGAAAAGGAACTCGAGCCTTTTCTCCTGCAGCAATGGATTGTGGATAATACACCTCACCCAAGTCTGCATCGATGCGGACTTGGGTAAAAAGCAGATCAAGGGTGCAAAAGGGGCGTGATCAACTTCCGCACTTGAGAATTGGGACACCCAACGCACTCACACCCCCTGTTTGAGATCGCGCAGTTGAAGGGTGTAAGAGTGGAAGTGTGAGAATTGGGATTGGGCCCAAGTTCACACTGCTGACATCATAAATGTGGACGCCCCGTGGACTAGCGTTGCCTATTAGAGTTGCGATAGTGGCCGCCATCTTGAATGGGTTCCCATTCGCCCCCCAGTAATTTATTTCTCTTGAGGAAGGCGCTTAACCAACTACAAAACACGTTTTAGTATGCTTTTTTGCAAAGTCAGACATATGGTATGGCGTGATAATTAAAATATAAATATAGTAAAATAAATTAAAATAGGAATTTCCAACAGCTAGGCTATGTAAGTCAATAGTAATCTCATGTGATCTGTTATTAAAAGTACGCCAGCTGTTGGAACAGTGGCTGCACAGAAAACGGCATAGTTGCTCAGTCTGTGTTGACTCCGGTTGGGTTTGGAGTGTGGAACCCACCCAACATGGCGGCAGCACTGTTATGCTCTCCAGCGCCGCCCAATGAGGCATCTATGCATTCATGTCTGTGGTTCACACAGCAGGATATTTAAACAGCTGGATGACTTTCAAAGCATGGTAGACCTCATGTGCTGATTAAAAATCACTCATATGACAGTTTAGGTCCTACAGAGAGTGGTGCGCAGCAGTTTTGGTAAAAGCGTATAGCAGAGGAGGAGTGAAGAGTGCAGCGTGCTTCCTTTACCTTGTTTTCTGATTGGCTACACCTCACATTCAACAGACAGCATGCTTGTTTGTCCTCGTTATCCAACCAAGACGATTAAATCTGTGGAACATCTCGAGTTATAGAGTGGAGCGGTCCCAACCTGCTTCCGAGTGGACCAGAGTGCTCCTAATGCACCACACAAGGTAGGATGGTCTGACCAGATTATCTTTAAAGACACCACGGTAATGGGAGTGGGGGTGTTGGCCCAAAAATCATCCAGATTATCCTGCCATGTGAACCGCGCCTTAGTAAACCTGGTCTTGAGGATTGTGGGAAATGAAGTCACTGGAAACCTTCCTGGATAGTTTCAGTGAATCAGGAAACGTGCTGCTTCAGAAAGGTTTTGTTACATTTGGGTTTCTGAAGGAGGACCATTTTGTTTTTCCTCTTTTATCCTGTTTGTTTTAGAAGGAAAATAAAAAACAGCTAAAATCTATAACATTTTATATAACTGACAAAATATTTAGATGCGTGTAATGATGTTTATTTGTTGATAGTTTTAGGATGAGTTTTTATATTTTAAATTTTTAATTTCTGAACCAGAATCAAAGTTTCTGCAGGTTGCTAGTTAATACTTTCAGGAAAAAAATGTATTTGGCCAAAAGAAAATATATATTTACTGAACAGTTTTGTCAGTGTATGAATTTATATCAAACTTTAATCATTCAGATTCACTTCCACCCGAGAGCCGATTGTTATTATTAATAATAGGCTTTTTATTATTATTATTATTATTATTATTATTATTATTATTATTATTGTTGTTGTTGTTGTTGTTTATTTGTTAATGCACATGTATCATTTGGGCTCTCAGGTGAAACCTGAACCTGGGCTCTGCAGCAGCAGCGCCCTCTGCTGGTCACTCTCAGTAGGAAACATGTTCATCAGCTGATCTCTTCCTGCATTTTTTCAGGTTCTTCAAGGATTTAGGTGAAAATTGGAGTATGTTTTTATTTTACTACAGATTTTTATTACCGTTTTATGCTTATTTTATTTTTATAAATTACAGAGAAAAACTGTAAATATAAATAGATTTCTCACAGCAGCGTCATGAAGCATCAAAACAGGGTAAAACTGTATAAAACGTTTAATCTATTCTTCATATTTTCAGACATCTGAATGGAGCTCAGACATGTAGTCTGAGTAAAATGTAAAGTATTAGTGGTGAAATATTTAGACTCGCGTCTAACAGCAGAAGTCCTCATCCATACTCGTGTAGAAACACTTTATTTTTTTGAATATTTTGGTGTTTTTACTTCGCCGAGGTTTGGTAGCGCCGGAGTTTTTCATCGAGCCACAAACTAACTTTAGCTGAAACTCTCCTTACATCTCCTTAAAAAACACAAGATCCGCCCCCTGTCCCTCCCAGGCCCAGTGCATGCTGGGAGATGTAGCCACTGCTCCACCTCTTTCCACTGATGGTCTGTCTACCTCCTCAGTATATGACACACACTCACACACACACACCCTGAGAACTCGTTTGTGTTTCTGTTTAAACTTTATTCATAAAAACCGACTTCATCGATAAAATACGTTTTTCCCCCGCTGACGGAAGCGGTCGCTCCCAAACCAGCCCTGCAATGGCCGAGCGACAAACATGTGACTAAATCTGAATAAAAACTGCTCCTATTGTGAGACCCTGCCCCAGTCTGTGGGACCCAGTAGACTAAATAACCAGTACCACCAGAGTGTGGAGTCAGACCTAACAGGGGAGTGGTCTGAGCTGGTCTCATATGGCCCAAACAGCTTCGGGTCCCTGTCCAGCCATGGTGCTGGACCAGGTTTGCGTCCTTGACTCTGTAGAAGTGGTGCCCTCTGCTGGTCATGAGAAGGATGGTTTCACCTTTGACCTTTTAAAAACAGGCTAAATGTCTCCTACCCCTACTTCCTGCATTAGCCGCTGATTGAGAACAGACGGGGAAATGCTCGGATCAGAAATCGAGTCAGATCTGCGTCACGTTGAAAATTAACATTCATGGACTCGACCATCTCGGCTCACGACGAGGAAGGCTGTCGTTGGTTTAGCGTCCGGGAGAGAGTAGAGAACGTCTCGGCTAGTGGAAGCTAACTTTAGCATTAGCAACTCCACCACACAGCAGAACTCCTCCGTGCTAGTGTTGTTTGAGGAGATGAAACAAATCAACAACGATCGGTGTTGCAGAGTCAGCGGTAGAGTTGCGTTGCTGTCAGCCAATCAGAGGAGAGATGTTGGAAATCGTGCCAAGTTCTGCTCACCTCTCCTCTAGCTCACTTTTAGTCGGTCTGTATTTGTACAGCGCCTTCGTAGGGTTCTACAACCCCCAAGGTTCTTCACAACACACTCAGTCGTCCACACATTCGCACGCTGGTGGGGATGAGCTACGATGTAGCCACAGCTGACCTGACAGAGGCACCGCCAGTCCCTCTGACCGCCACCAGCAGGCAAGGAGAGTTTAGTGTCTTGCCCAAGGACACAACAGCAGCATTCTCTGGTCGGAGCTGGGATTGAATCTGCAACCTTTCAGATTACTGGACAACCCGCTCCACCTCCTGAACTGCTGTCCCTGTCCTGAAATGGGAGCGCCAGAGCTTTTATCCCACAGAGCACAACTCACCATTCATTTATATTGAGGCCACTGCAAGTGTGTTAAAAAACGAGTGAACTTGGTCTTTAACGTTTCAAACCTAAACCACTCATTTTATTTGTTCTGTTAAAACATGCTTAGGTCACTTTAAGTCACCGAGGAAAATCAAATAGTTGCGGGCCGGATCCCAAAAGTTCTGTTTGAGGGTTCTCGTTATGTGGTTCTGCTTTTAATCTAGAGACCAAATCTAATCTGTTAAATATTTAATAAAAATAATATCTAATCCACAATGTAAACCCCGTTTTTACTTCCTGTAAGCTCAAAAAAATTATATTTTACATTTGAGTAAAACTAATCTAGAAATATCTACTTCCTGTGAATTTCAAATTAAAGGCTTTTATTCCTCTTTACTATTATACATTTAAATCAAAACACTAAGCTCAAAGACAACATGAAGGGACTCGTTCTCACTGAGCACCTTCTGTGTGCCCTGCTGAGTCGTGGTCTCTGCGGGTCAGTTCTCCTGACCTCTGTGACCTT